CTCTAAAAGTAGCAGCTCCAAAAATCCGATCATCGAATCATGCGATCGAAATCTATTTCTTCGCGATCAGACTCAACTCACTTCTTCCTTTAATCTTCCTCTCTTTTCTTCGATCCTACAAAACATCAAATGTAATCTTATCACATCATGTATTAAGAATCCAAAAATAGGAACTTATAGAGTTAGTTAATGGATTTTACCTGAAGTAGAGCCATACGTCTTGACTCTCCCGTCTCTTAGATCTCTCAGGTAGACAGGGCGGCTTTGTGTCCAATGCCCCTTCTCTTGGCAATAAAAGCAAATTGACTCTTTTGGAACAGCACACGGAACTACCTCAGACTTTGCCTTTCTCTTATGATCAAACTTTTCGACCATGGCATGCCTTTCGTTGCCATTGCATATGTCCATGGAGGTTTGAAAGGCAGATCTACCAATCAAATTTGCTTTTCCAGTGCGCCAAATCATTGCTGATTCAGCAGCAACAAGCAAATAGGTGATATCGATAAGGGTTACGTTGTGGTCTATCATACAGTACTCTCTAACGAACTCACTATATGAGTCAGGAAGCGACTGAAGAACCCAGTCAACAGCCAGTTTCTCACAGACAACGACTCCCAACATTCTTAACCTATCAATGTGTGACTTCATCTCTAAGACGTGTGCACACACTGGCTTGCCCTTCTTCATGTTTACTTGCCAAAAGGGCTTGAGTGAGCTTGAACTTTTCAAGCCTTTGAACTTGCGGGTTAGGGAGAATAATAGGAGGCGGTGGAGGAAGTGAAGCATGATCTCGTGTTCCTCGATCGAATCGTGGAATATCATCTTCATGTGGAAAGTTTGTTCCACGGGATTTGGGAAGACCATAACAATAGTTGTCATACTTTGACATCTACAAAACGGGAGAAAATTCAAGTTAGTTGATTGATTGAGTCCTTAATAAAACACCCAAATGAGATATTAAGGCTAGGACCCAACACAATACTCTACAACTTGGGAGAGGGATGTCGTAACCCAAATTGCAGAACATTTGAAGGTAAGTGAATGACGATTCACTAATTTTCCACCATGAAAAACGAAAAAGAGATTAAGTTTTAAATGTATTGAAAACTCCTAGATCCTTTGAGATTCATTGAACTTTTCAATGACATGTTTAAATCTCGATATGCCCCTCGATTTGTGACTGGGATGCCGAGGATCACAAAATAGGTGTGAATAACCATGCAAACTTACATAGTGCCCCCAATGTTACAGTCCCCTATTCGATGTGCCGGTTAACCACACATGCTCCAGAGGAACTATGACAAACATTGAGTCACCCTTTGCTACCTTTGCTTAGAACCCATTTAGTGTGCCGGTTAACCACACACGCTCCACTAACGTTTCAGCAAGGGTACAAAGTGTAATTTCATGGAATTGCATCAAATTCACTTTTGCCTAAAGTAACTAAGATTGGGAATTTTGTAAAAAAACATTTAGTTACTTTATAATTCATTATACTTTTAATGGAAAGGGTTTGATCTATCCTACCCGTTCGGCTAACGACCCTCCACCAATCAAGGAAGCGGTGGGTGAGAGTGGACACCCATTAAACGGTCATTTTATAGGCCATAACCTTATACCCCCCTTATAGATCGGCTTCGTGAATGAGGCCTACTAACGGTAAGACTAGCATTTAAGTTATACATATATAATATTATACTTTTAATGTTATATATATAGTATAAGGGTGCATTTTACACTTTTAAAATACTATGTGGTCTACTTTAATAAATTACACTTTTAATTTAATTAAATATAAACCATGTCACTATGGATTTATTAACTTTCTTTTAATTATACACTTAATTAATTTAATAAAATCATAAGGGTGTAATTTGAACTTTTTTCAAAAATTAGGGTTTTAGAATTTAACATTTTAAAATTAAACTTTTAATTAAAATTTAAATTCCAAAACTTGAGGGCAAGTTTTCGAAACATTTCAAATCATTAGGGTTTTAATCAAATTTAAAATTTCTGAAAATTAAAATCTTTTAATTTGAAATTTTAAATATTAAAACTTTGATTTAATAATTATCTCAAAATTAAACAATTAATTTGAATTATCAAATCTTGAAGGATTATCTATTAAATTAACAATTAATTTAACCTAATCCCTTAAATCCCCTAAAATTCGAAAATTGGGATGGGATAATTCAAAATCTTTAATTACCATATTAAACAATTAAAGGGATAATTACAAGATATGGCATTATTTAAATCCCTAAAATTTAGGAATCTTATCTTGGGGAGGAGGCAATTTCGAAAACCCTAGGGTTGGATAACCCTAAACTTCGAAATCTTGGAGGCTAAGGAAAGGGTTTGGGAAACCCTATCAAATTTTCGAAATCTAGGGTTTTAGGAACCCTAATTTGGAAAATCAAGCCCTTAGGGTTTATTTGCTATAAACCCTAATATGTCAAAATCATACATGATATATCCTACATTACAGTAATCATATATGATTACTCATATATCATATATGATTAATCATATATGATTACAGTACATATATGATATATGATTAATCATACATGATATATCCTACATTACAATAATCATATATGATTAATCATATAAGATTACTCATATATGATATATCAAATAGGTATATAATTTATACTTATATAAGCAAAGTTGTTCATTCATAGGTTACTGGCGATTTATTTAAAAACAAAGACTTCAAGAAAAGATTTAACAAGCTTGTTTGGAACATGCATATCAAACCTGATGAATTTGAAAAGAAGTGGGATTTGATTATTAATGAATTCAATCTGGAAGATAAAAGATGGTTCAATGATATGTTTGAATTACATGACAAATGGATACCTACATACTTCAGTGATACAAGAATGTCTGGATTAATGAACACCACTTCAAGATCAGAAAGCATGAATTCCTTCTTCAACACTTACTCTCAATCTGGAAATTTACTTTTACATTTCATGATGAACTATGACACAACAATTCAAAAACAAAGAAATACACAACAGGAGCTTGATCATCAAACAAAGAAGGCGGTATATAAATTTATTTCACCACGACCAATAGAAAAACATGTTGCAAAAGTTTATACAAGTACATTGTTTTATGAAGTACAGAAAGAAATCTATAAAGGTTCCTGGTATTGCCAATACGAACATCTTGGAACAAAAAATGGATGGGAGTTTTGATGGGTTTTATACAAACAAAAAATTAGGGTTTCAGTCCTTATCCTTATCTGGTTGCTTAGCCATCAAGCAGCCCAAAGGATAACCCTAGAAACCTTATCATGGACAGATTCTAAGGCCTTATCCCCTTGAATTCGTCCACCATATCATATAGGGCATCCTTTGCCCTACTTTGCAACTATCACATAATTACAGTTCAGTCCCCCTAGTTCAATTAACTTCTTTTGATCACAAAATTAATTCTTAATTAATTCTTGATCAATGTTAATTAAACAAATATGATTTCTCTCTTAATATATTATTCTTATAATATATTAATAAACCATAATAACCTCTTTCTCTATTATTTCTCCAGTCAAGTTGCTTTGGTGAAGGCAACTCAAAAAGACCATGCACAACCGGGTCAAGTACTTACCAAATATGGTTACGGGCTTAGACACTAATCCAACAAGTTATACAAAGTGGAACAACTGAACAAAAACAGTGATCTAAAAACATAATTTGAGGTAATATATTCTTATTTTAAATTTTGTTGAATCAGCACATAATATAAAAAAATATTCAGTTATGATTATAAAACACTTAATGCTTTAATTTTATTTTGAACAGGTAGAAATAAAACTTCCAACCAATGATGTAAAATGTACTTGTGAACACTTCAACCGCTTTGGGACTTTGTGCAGACATGCATTCAACATACTCATGAAACATAGAATTAAGGAGATACCTGAACAGTACATTGAGAATCATTAGAGAAAGGATGTGATATCAAGGCATTATAATTTTGGTAGACATGTATATAATACAGGAGACAGTGAAATTAACAGATCTGTCAATCAAGCATACTACAACTTTGAAGCATGTTTGAAATACGTAAGAAAAAATAAAAAAAAATTGATTTGTTTGTTAAGAAAACAGAAAGCATGTTGAAGGAATATGAAAACGATCCTACAAATGAATTGCAGAAGAATAGGACAGATGTTGAAGAGGAAGGAAAGCTTATGGGAATATCTATTCCAAAAGACATTGACATCAATGTTCCAAATGTTCAAAGCAATAAAGGATGCGGAAAGAAAAGTAGAATTCAAAGTGCAGCAGAAATAGCGTATAAAAATTCAAACAAGCAAACAAGAAGATGCTCAGGATGTGGAGAAAGGGCTCCTCATAACTTGCGGACATGCCCAATCAAACTTGCAGCAGAACAATCATCAAAATCTACATAGATATTTACTGCTTTAATCAGTAATGAATAAGTCATGAATTTTTTTTTTCAAAATAATATACTTTTTGTTTTGTACACTTTACTCTTTTTATAAAACAGAATTTACTATGATTTTGTCTACTGGATTTAATCTACTTTGATAAATATTTCTTTGATTTGATAATATATTCATTCATGATTAAACTTTTATTAAATGTTACTACAAGCATTTAAGATTACATATAAATTGTTATTCAATACATGTAATCATTACACATAACCATATACAATATTCATTTGTATAATCATAAAATATTATGTAATACTACTTCATATGTTTTGTTTAATCATAAGTGATTAAAAATATGATTACACATAAAAAACATCTAACCATTACATATAACCATATACAACAACATCGTTCCTAACAAATATACAACACTGCTCATAAAAAATCTAAAGATAACAATATTCATCATTATAGAATAACATCAAACATGATAAAATCTTCAATAACAAACAATTTCACAAGTCTCAAATATCACGTTCCCCATTTTCCAAGATTCTTGTTCTTCATATTCCTAGCTAGATTTTCATACAGATTGTAGCTGACTCCAAGAACTCTTTTCACCATTACTTAGAAAGATTATCTCCATTGAACATAACAAATCTTTACTACATATCTGATGTAGAGAAATGTTGTTCATTAAAAAGAAATATTCTTTAAATGAACAACATTCATCTACTTCAAAGACATCTAGTAAAGATCTGATATGTTCAATGAAGATAAACTTTTTAAGTAATGGTGGAAGAGGCGTTCTTGGAGTCAGCTACAATCTGTATGAAAATCTAGCTACAAATAAAAGAACAAGAATCTTGAAAAAATGGGGAACATGTTATTAGATACAACAAAATTAGTTCTTTTAGACTTATAGACTCCATATTTTACCTGAAACAAAATGGAAGTTGTTTATATCATAAATAAATAATGGTGATATATAAAAATTGAAGAAATTAATAAACAAAACTGACCAATTGGAAGTATAAGGACTCATCTTTGAAGAAATATAAGGGGTAGCACGAGGCTACCCCCTTTATACAAACATAATCACTTATCAAAAATACAATATATGGTTGTACAAATCAGTTTTCATTTATAAAGAAAAAATTCTTCAATACAAACACTAAAAAACAAAACTAAAATCTTACAAAGATAAGATTATGCATGGTGATGTATTCCATGTAGTAAAGATAAGCTCACTTATCAAGAAAAAGATGTAATAAATTATAATGTGTTGTACAACAAATATAATCATTTATGATTACAAAAACATAAAAAAAATAATCGATACAATCACTAATGATTACATATAAGCAACATATAATCAATACTAAAAACATAAATTACATATAAAAATATAACATAATCACTTATGATTAACATTCAATAACATAATTCAAAAAAACAAACTTACATAATAAAATCCACCAAAATACATATTAACTTGTTTTCCATCACCATGTTTTCCATCATCATAAAAACAAACATTCTTCACAATATCCATAACATACACAACATAAACAAACTTGTTCTTATAGCATCATCAATAAGAAAATATTGAATCGAAAAATTTTTTACAACCTTCTTTCTATATTCCATTGAGCATCACATGAATGCTTACCACGAATCTTTTGATCAACTTTTTTATACTCATATGCAGCTTTCAACACATCATCACGCTTTGTATTAATCTCAGAAGTTAAAATTGCTGCTGCATATTTCATTCTCAACTTTTCCAGAATTTTTTCTTGAGAGCCACCTTCTTTTGGAAGACCACATTTCCATTTAGAACCTTTTTCTCCAAAATAACTCTCCATACGTCTCATAGCAAAAACTCCACAATCCACTTTGTTATAAACTGTCCTCCATGGCATTGTCAATCTTACTGGAGTAAGATTTTTATCAGCCATTTCATTTGCTTTAACATGATCGATCTCTTTTAGATACTTCAAAAAAGACTTTTTCTGAAAATCATATATGATTTCAAGTCAGAAAAATATACGTATAATAATTATAAAACATATCATATATGATTTCAAATCTAAAAAATAAATATCATTTGAAACTTACAAGAGGTTTAAAAACTGCACCATACTTATCATCGAAATCAGCATCATCTGCACCATTATCGATAACCTCAAAAGCACGTTTCTTCAAATTCATAACAATAAGATATATGTACTTATGCCTCAAAATCAGGAAAAATACCTAACATCAACATGTATAATATTATAAATAAAATATTACTATATATATATATATATATATATATATATATATATATATATATATATATGTATGTATAAAAAAATAAATATACCATATCAACATCCTTCAAAACCTTCAAGTCTCTATCACCAGAAACACTGCAAGAGAAGTTGTCCTTGAAAACTTTATATTTTGCAGTTTCATTTAAATGAGTATATTCAAATGACAAAGTCTGTAATATAAGAAAATCATAAATGATTATATAATAACATGTAAATATTTAATAAAAAAACTATTAATGATTATCAACATATGAAAAGCAAAGAATAAAATAAAAACTTACAGTGTCAGAATTCATGAACAATCTGAGTGGAGAATTAACAACATCTATGAATTTCTCTTGATGATTTAGTATACGAGACCATGAATCAAGAACACTAACATGCAAATGGGTTTTTTTTAAAAAGACTTTCATAATTAGCTCTAAAACCAACAACATCTGTTTCCATAAGCAATACAATATCCCTGTATATATTTAATTAAATGTTATTTAAAATAAAAAATTATAATTATAAAAATAAAAAGTTATATTAAAAAAATTACCCTGGATTTCCTTGAAGATTGAAAAGCCATTCACAAATAACATTTTCTACTTATGTCAAACTAGGTTTAAAATCAATTAACCTTTCCTTAAATGGTGACTTATAAACATAAGAAAACTTCATTTGTCTCTTTCCTTTGATATCCACTACTGATGTTGCTTCTTCATTTATATCTTTAGGTTTGCCAGAAACAGGTTTTGATGGTCCTTCTAATGTACCCAAAGGGGGTGCAAAAGAAACTGGACTAGCATCAATAACATCAACATTTAGAATAACACACTCTGGACCAGCACTTGGTTTTCCCAAAATAACTCTATCCTTAATCTTTTTCTTTGTCATCCGTTCAGAAGAAATTTGACTTTGAGATGACTTCTTGGAACCTTCAGAATCTTGACTAAATCCAATACTAAAACTTGCAACAATATCATTTTTCAATGATCATCTTCAACATTTTCTACCCAATAAAATTATAAAAATCATATATGAATAAACAATAATTATAAACACAATTATATATGAATAAACAATAATTATAAACAAATTACCTTCATCTTTATTTTTATGATCATCCTAACCCAAATTTACAGTCCCTAAATTATTAAAATCATAAATGAATCATCTATATAACATATTTATATATATTTTATGTATTAAAAATACATAAATAAATACTTACCATCATCAATACCAGTCAAATTCAAATTCACATCATCTTCAACTAGTTTCTCATTTAAACAACCATCAGTACCTATAAAATTCAAATATAAAAAATTAAAATCATATATGATTAAAGTATATATAATAATAAAATATGCTTACCTTGATCCAAAGTTTTAAGAAAACTTTCAACAACTAGATCACAAATAAATTGACTAAAAGATACACCTTCCTGGCTATCAATTAGACCCACACTCTTAGTAACATTTTCGACAACAGAATTTAAATTCTTGGCCTCTTCTTTATTACATCCACTTCCGTTTCCTTGTTCATCATCTTCATCATCATCACCTTTACCTTCAACATGATTTTTACCAATATTGCCCTCATGTGGATCACTTCCATCCCCCTGACCACCAGAACATTTCCCTTGATCATAATCTTCAACATTTTCATCATCATTAAGAAAATCATTCCCATAATCTTCATCATTAACTTGAACAAAACCAGGTGTTAATATCGGTTCTTTATATTTTTGTGAAACATAATTGAAATCAAAACTTTCTGTGATTAAATCTTCAACGGGAAATAATAATTTCCAATTTTTCAAATTTTGACTTTGAGGAAACTTCAACACTCCCTCATCTATCTTTACAACAATATCCTTTTTCAAATCCTCCATCTTCTGATACATACATGAAATTTACTTTCATACACCTACATAAGAAAAAAGATACTTACAACTAAACTACTTAAACATAAAAAGTCATAAATGAATAAACTAATTAAATCATAAATGAATAAAACTATAGAATTACCTCCACATCACTAACTTTATTAACATCAAAATCTTCTTCATCCTCATCACATAAATCCTCTTCACCATCAGATTCAACCTCATCACCACCAGATTCCTCCTCATTATACTCAGATTCTTGAAATTCTTCTTCAACATATGCTTCATTAACATGTCCACATCCAAATCCTCCACCCTATTGTAAAATATCCTCAAGAAACCTTATCTTCTCTAACATCCAATAAAAATAGTTGGACGTTTACGTGTGACTTGCAAATGATCAAACTTGAAAGTATCCACATACAACAACTACAAAAAAACATATATAACATCATATATGATTTTGATGTGTAATATATAATTAAACAAAAATTATACTACATAATCATATATGATTATATGTAATAAAATCATATATGATTTATTATAAAAACAAACATATTTTTACAACTAAAAATAATAATAAATATAAAAAAATAACTCACGTACCATAAGGTATGTTGCTGGTCCATAAAAGAAAGAAGATTCTTTCTCTGGATTGTAAACCTTCTTCGTCCTTACCAAACAATCCACAATGTAATCGCACCAGTCAATGCTACTTAAATCAGTATCTCTTCTGATTAAATACAATGGATTCAGATTACATTTACCCATGCTTGTAGACTCACAGAAAGTATTAATAAAAAGAACCAAAAAATTGATTCTAAAGTTGTCATCCGCAGTACTAGTTTGAACAAGTTCATTCTTTAGCTGTTTCAATCTCAATTTATCAATATTTTCATACTGTTTCTTTCACTCAAACATACAGCTCTCTTCATTATTCTCCGAAATGTAATCCATGTTTGAAAGTAATGAGCCACCAGATGGTAATCCTAACATCTCTTGAACAAACTTACTATCAACACTAACTTCACAATTATCAAACTCCACCTTCAAAGATTCAAAATTAAAATGATCAAGAACATAATAAAAAATCTTCCACGGTACGTCAATCATCTTCATCCCTAACAAACTCCCAAATCCCATAGCCCTAACACAATCCTTCTGTTCTCTACTTAAACCTTGAATAACACCCAACAATGACCCTGGTGAACATCTATTCTTCAATGAAGGAAATTCTTTTATAACAGCAGCTTGTTTATCTTTCTTCAAAACTTTAGTTTCTCTCTTTGGTTTCTTTGAAGATCCAGGACGACTCTGAAAATCTGAATCATCTTCATCAGATAGTTCACGTTTTTTACTTACAGTTTTGACCTTAACCCTCAGCTTCACTTTTGGTTGTTAGATAACTTTTTTTTAGATGTCTTTGAACGTGTTTGCGACACCTCATTCGCCTTTTCGCTTTTGGAAGATGACCGTGTCTTCCTTGAGCTATCTACATTCCCTTTTTTAACTACAATTTTCATTACAAACATAGTGTTAGTAAAAAATAAAACATACATTTATCATTACTATTCACTAATGATTATAAACAGACGTATAAAATCATTTATGATTAGAACAATAAATAAAAATACAACTAAATGTTATATACAATCCACTTAAAAGAACCACAAAATCAGTTATGATTACAAAAGTAACTTTATATTCATGTTTGATACATAAAAATACATTTATCATTACTATTTACCAATGATTATAAACAAACGTATACAATCATCTATGGTTAGAAGTAGAAATAAACATATAACTAAATGTTATGTTCAATACACTGGAAAAAATCAAAAAAATCAGTTATGATTACAACAAATAACTTCAAACATTAAGTTATATGTTTATTTCTACTTCTAATCATAGATGATTTTTTTTAACTGTACCTTCGGAAATAACAGCACTTCTACCGCATTCGATATTTTTTTCATTTTTTCATTTTTTTTAACATAGTTTCTTTTGAAATCCTTATCTGTGAAAATATAAACAAAAACTTACATCAAAAACCACCACAAACAAACATAATAAAAACATATCAACTCTAAACGAGATAATCATCAAAATCAATTTAAAATGACGAAAAACCTACTGAATCAAAACAAAAAAACACCATTATCAACATAAAACGACAGTTAACTAATTAATAAAAACATGCATTATCAATAAAATGAAAAATAACTCGCATTCTAACCTTTCATTTCGATTAACGAAGATGCGAATTCGTTTATATTTTCTCCTGAAGACATTTACTGATTTCTCAATAACAGGTAAGAAACGAAAACTAGGGCAAAATACGATAAAGAAAGAAAAAGTGGGTTTCCTGAGAGTTCGAAGTGAGACTTTGATCCAGAAAGAAAAGAAAACAATAGGCGGTTACAATATCGTAGCCTGCAAAATTCATATAAATCTTTGTAAAATTACAACAATAGCCCAACAATCGTAAATTAACGGCGTTAGTTTAATAAGTTACCAATATAAATACAAATATGCCACCACATAGTTTCAGAAACAAACATAAGCACATTAAACGGTTATACACATATCTCACAATCTCTAATTTTTTTTATCTCAAGGGAACCAACATCTATATATATTATATATATATATATATATATATATATATATATATATATATATATATATATAGAGAGAGAGAGAGAGAGAGAGAGAGTTATGTTCCAATGAGAATATTTTTCCCGTGAGAACATTTGAGAACATTTTTCAGACTCTCGGTATATATCCCTCTTATATTTCTCTCTCTACATACCTCTCTTATTTTCTCTCTCTACATATCTATCTCATCATTCTCTCTCTACATATCTTTTGAGACCACTGTCACCATCAACGGACCTCCACCGTAATGATGCCGGAACCACCCTAACGTCGTCGGAACTACCTTAACGTCACCAGAATCACCGAAATGATGTCGAAACCACACTAATTTCGTCGGAATCATCGATCTGCTTCTTCACTCTCTTTGGATCTGTTTGGTTTCCCGATATCATTTTCCGATCTCCAGGTCTGCTTATTGTCATCTTC